CATGTTTTCTTTCCCTAACTCCTTAGGAGAAAAGAATCAAAGACCATTTATTAAATGTCAATTCTTTACTCATCTAATAAAACAACTTACATTAAGTGTACAAACAATAAAGATAACTAACAATACATACTCATTCTTGAAATAAAGATTACTATAGGTGTTTTGCAACAATTTAAGGTTAAGAAAATATTTTCCAACAATATTCAAAATGATAAATTAAGTTATGGGTGATCAAACCACATATATCAATCATTAAGCAAGGAAGTAAAAACACTAATATAAGTATAAAGATAAATATACCAATTTGATAAATATATGGGAATGAGTTTAGTTACATCTAAAATCAACAATGGAGAGTTTAACTACTTATTTCCATGAGTAGCATCCATGAAAAATGAAAGTGAAGATGTAGGGACAAAGGAGATGGAAAACACTTTTCATCAATAGAATAGTATCCAAGTCGTCCAAGTTTCAAAATGATCTGAAAATTCTTTTTTTTTTTCTCTCTTAAAACACTTTTTTACATATAAAAAAAATGCCATATTTGGTATTAAAAATTTTAAGTGGCTAACATTGCTAAACGAGCTATGCTTGAAAAAAAAAAGAGATATTGTGACATCCCAAATCGTTGAGCAACAGACTACAATCCTTGAGCGATTCTTGAAAATTCTCCCAAATGACTTGGCAATTTACGAGATCGCTTGGCAAAAACTAGGCCAAGAGAATCTGCAATTTCATCAAGCGAGGATCACTCAACAATACTAGAATTGTTGAGAAATTTTCTTCTTGAGAAAATTCTTCCCTATAAGGTCATCTTTCGCACTTAGTCACAAGGGCATTATTAGAAATGAGTTATTTTCTTACGAGTTTTTCTGCAAAAAATTATTTGCAAAAAATTCTTGTAATTTTTACTGTAATTATATTAATTATAAGATTATTTTTTGCATTAAAAATAGAAAAATTTATAGGAGTTTTTTTTTCATCTTACAAATATTATTTTGCAAGAAGTATTTAATTTTATTTTAATAAACCACAAGCAAATGTCCTATATATGTAAATTAACTTGCAAATTTAAATTCACAAGAAATTTTCTTGCAAATTTAAAAATTGCATGAAATGTGTTATGAGGATTTGTATCAACATGAATTCACATGTAATAAGAACAAATAAAGAAAATTAAAATATTATAAAACTAAATATTGTAAGAACATACATTTAAACTTCAATCACACTCTCAACTAAAATGTTGAATTCTGTCTTGCAGTATACCGCAAATTCCATTTTATTCTTCCACAAAATTAGCTCAAACACTTCACTCACATTTATAGGATTCCATTTTATTCTACACACAAAATCATTTTAGCTCTAAATCTCAATAGTGTGTTTTAATTTTGATTGCTATGAGCTTGATTTTGTTCTTATCCTTTACAATGCATTTCAATTTGGGCTCTTTTGCTCTCATACAACATGTGCTTGCTCGCCTAATTATTTTCTCTTGCTTATTTAATCAAAAATTTACTCTCAAGGTTGGTTTCTCTTCGAAAATAACTGAATCACTCATAAAAAATATGAATACTTAGACGACATCATGTTGGTGTGTTGTTGTTTGCCTTTACTTAATTTGTTTTATTTCCAAAACTCTATAAAATCTTTAAATACACTTTTATCGAAATACTTGCACACTCATTCTTTAAATTGTATTGTTCAATTTAACTACAGGGGCATCAAGTGGTATTGGTGCTGAGACTGCCCGTGTTCTTTCTTTACGTGGTGTCCATGTGATTATGGGGGTGATAGATATGATTGGTGCCAAAAATGTCAAGGAGGCAATACTTAAAGAGAACCCCACAGCTAAAGTTGATATCATAGAGTTAGATCTTAGCTCAATGGCATCTATTCGAAATTTTGCATCAAAGTTCAATTCATCTGGTCTTTCATTGAATATTTTGATGTAAGAGCACTACATAGGTTACATTGGTAGATGAAAAGTAAATTTATGTGTTTATATAGTTTTCCATATCTTTCTCTATAAAATTCTTTGTGCACACACATCTTAGTTTTGTCATTTACAAAAACAATCTAATAGTAATAATTTTTTATTGATTTATTTTCTTGCAATTCAAAGAAACAATGCAGGGGTTTGTGCAACTCCTTTCACATTATCCAAGGATAACATTGAACTTCAATTTGCCATAAATTACATAGGTATGTTAAAACTATCTAATTTTCATCATATGAATTATTAATGAGTGTCTTAGATAGATGGTGTACACATGCATGTGCATATCCCTTTGTGCATGCATTTGTGTATGCCTTATGTAGCAAAATGAACACATGAAGCAAGTGTATGTGCGTATGTGTCTTGTATAGGTGGTGCATGCACAATGATAAATGTGTGGCTTATGTAGCAACATACTCACATGCATATGTTTGTATTAGGAAACAACATACATATACCATACTTCTATCTTTCTATCTCTATGTGTGTGTATATATATGTTTGTGTTAGTATCATAGATGGGTAGGGTGCATTGGGAAGGGTAGTAAATAAGGACAAAACATAGATGCAATACTATAAGTGTTGTTGGTATTATTTTTCAATTAAAATTGAAGTTTTACCTTGATACTATGTATAATAAATGATCCATTAAAATGCTTAGAATTACTAAGAAAAAACTCTAATTCTAATTGGAGAATAACATCAACATACCTAACTAAGTTTTTTTAAAATAAATAATTGTTACATGAAATTTTTTTGCACTTAAGATTTGTCATAAAATGTCAAAAATTTCTTTTATTATTTCTTTAAAAGCATGGGGTGAGAAAATGTAACAATAATCTTAATATTTTAATTGTTATCCAATATAATTTGACAGGGCACTTTCTTTTAACAAATATGTTGTTGGATAATATGAAGAAAACAACACAAGAAAGTAAGAAACAAGGAAGAATTGTTAATGTCTCGTCAGCTGGTCATCATTTCACATATCATGGAGGAATTCGTTTTGACAAAATTAATGATCAATCAAGGTAAGAAGTATCCCAAATATAATATATGATGATAAACTATCCTAGCAAGTTCTTTTTCAAGGAATTTTTTTTTATTGAGCCTTATTTTTCTTATAATTTATCCAAACGAAGCAAAAAAAAAGTATGCTAGATATTTTAATAAAGGTAATTTGACTCTACTATTAATTTGTTTAACTCTTAAAACTATAAATATTATTATAAATCTTTGATTTTTGTGGTAAAATAAACTGTGACTTATTTAATATTAGGTGATAACGTTATTATATATAAAAAGAATTTATCACTCATTAATATTAATAGAATGAGTCAAATTAAGTGCTCATGCGGGAACATAAAATTTGACACCCCTAGATAATTAATAATGAAATGTAGCATTTCAATTTATCATACAATTTTGATGAAATAGTGATGAAACAAAATGAAAATATGATCCATCATGTGAATGCCCAATGGGAGTTTGTGAGACACGTGGTCAATATATATTCACTGGATTGTCTATATGTAAATGTGAACAAATATCAAGTTCTACGGACTAGGTTTAAAAATGTTGATGCTTTTAACACAAAACCAATTAAGGTGGTTTTTGTACCTAGTTAAGAAACCATAAATTTATTAGACTGAATAATATCCCATTAAATATAGCTTTTGTAACATGTAGGCATTCAAAGTATTTTTTATATAATATTTTTTTTTAATTATTAAATATTCAAAAATGTTTTTAAAATTATTCAAAAATATTTTTTTAATTATTGAATATTCAAAAAATATTTTTAAAATTATTAAATATTATTTAATATTAATTTTTTAAATTATTAAATATTTAAAAATTAGCTAATATTTATTTATAAAATTTAATTTAAAAACCTCAACATATAAATATATTTTTAAAATTAATTTTACCATGGTAGAATCATATTCAACCTAACAATTTAAAATTTAATAAATTTGAATTGACTTATCCGAACAAAATATTTTAAGAATGATAAAAATTGAAATTAAAGTAATTTAAATACTAATAATTTAAAATTTTTTGAATTTGTAAAATTTCTCATCCAAACATATGATGAGACCACGCTCAAGGAGATACTCTCATAAAATTGACTTTAAATAATGTCCAATGAAACATTGCTCTCAAAGACTTCTCTACGGCTCTCACATCCAATATGTCACTTGTCACTCATTGGTCAGGTTCTCTTTATTCACATAATGGACACTAATTTTAGTTTTTCTATTTATTGTATTAATGATGAACATAAAAGATGTATAGTTCTCATCTTTATAATATAAGTCAAACTTCTATTAAATTGGTGAGAAAACTTACATAAATATTGAGTATTCTAAAATTTGGTCAGAAATTTTCCAAGTTTAAACTATCATGTTTTAAAACAATTTTCTAAATTTAAACTATCTTGTTATAATACACATAATAAAGAACACTTTCATCCTAACATTATACATCATAATCTTGAAATTCTATTTAGTAAATATGACATTTATAAAATTATTTTATAATGAATGATTGCATAATGATAAATGTGGCTAAAATGAGATTTTATTACTTTTATGTAAAGAATCAAGCATTATATAAGTAAGTCGTTTTGAAATAAATTTATAAGAATTATTTACTATTATTATCCATTTGATGCTGAGTTTTGTAACATGTAGATACTAAAAGTCTTATTTAATTTTATGCTAGATCAAAATATAAATAAAAAAAGTTCAAAAGTCATTACTTGTTATGAAAGATATTGTATACAAGGATTATGATCTATAAGATTATAAACAATTTTTTTTTTCGCATTCCATCATTTAAAAATAAGAGACATTTTGTTCTTTAAGTGAACTTTGTATAGTGTATATAATACTTACAAGATTAAGAACTTGCAAGTTCCTACATCTATTCTAATATGCTTCTACTTTAGTTCTATATCATAACTAAATAAAAAAAATATTTTGTGATGGTTTTTATTTTAAATTTTTTCTCTATTTTAATTCTAATATTTAAATTTAAGCATATAAAACGAGAATTGTAGTACGTGTGCAAAGGATTTGTGAATTGTATTGTATAATTCATTTTCTTTGTTATGTATAGTTACCATTGCTGGCGTGCATATGGCCAATCAAAGCTTGCTAACATTTTACATGCCAATGAACTTGCAAGACGTCTTAAGGTTGTGCCACACCGAGTAATACATTATTTTAATGTTAAGAGTTGATTACCAATTTTTGTTTTTTTTACTATAATATCACTATGAGTAATCATTATTATCTCATTGATTTCTCCGAAATTTTAGCTAGTCACTAAAAAATCGATATCCTTAATCTTGCACATCGTTTATTAGGCTTTTTCACAATTTAATTAAGAAACTAGTATTTATAAATGAATACTTTCAAAGTATGGCATGACACATTTCTTTGTTAATAATGAATTATTGTATTTAATGAGTAGCTAATGACTTACATACAACTATATGTTTAAGTGCTTTGCAATTGGATGCAATTTTAACTCTTAAACATTGTTATATAGTTATAGCCCAACCTGAGCTAGTATGCGAGAATTAAATTAGTCAAATGTCAAGTTGAACTAATTAAAATTGATTTTGCATTTATTAAAAAAATTATCATGTAGACACATTCTACAGTGATAAAATATTTGTTAGTAAAAATTATTTTCTTATTAATACTATATATAAATATAATATATATTATTATATTATTAAAAAATGTCGATATAAATTATAATGCTAAACAATATATATGATTAAATATCTTAAAATTAACATTAAAATTATGTATAATTATGTCAAATAAATTTATACTTATAGATATAATCTATAGAGATATTTTTTGTATATAACTATATATAACATTTATTATAATAATCCATCTAATCATTATTTAAAATTGTATATATTTTGATTAGCTAATAATTGTTAAAAAGTACTTGGAAGAAGTGTATGATAAGTAGTTTTCAGTTAAAATGGAAACAATTTAACCAAACAATCACTTTTTCTTTTTTTTTTAAATTTCCTTCTCTTATGTTTATTGGATAAATAATCTTTTAGTTTTCCCGTTAGGTAGTTGTTTGTGATATATTTAATTAGTTTTTTCTCTTATCCTTGTTAATTAGGAAGATGGAATAGATATTACTGCTAATTCTCTTCATCCGGGAGCCACTTCAACCAATATTTACATTAACAATCGTTTATTGACAGGTAGTTATCACATTCGTGTAAATTTATAGCCTATTAGAAAATTATGTAAATAAGGGATTTAAGATGCTAAATGATTAAACTATTTTACATAATCCTTCGCCTTGATTTGTCTTTTGATAAGTTTAATGCATTTACAATGAAATAGTCTCCAATTCCTCATATTAGTTTTAGGGGTTTTAATCCTACATTTTGTACATAAATATTTTATAAAATAATAGAACAATAATTGTAAAATAAATTAGTTGCGTACATAATAAATTTAAACTTAAAACTTAGTAAATACGATTACTTCTTCAAGCATCCATGCAAAACAATTTGACATGTTTACCTAGAGATAGCCTTTCTTATTTATATTATTTAATTATAACAAAAACTATCATCTTCTCTATTTTTAATGGGTAGATTTTTGTTCAAGTATATTTTTTCATGTAGATAATGATATTTGTTGAGTTTTATGAGCATATCTTTGTATGACTTATGCAGGTATAGTCAATATCTTAGGACCATTCATAATTGGTAAGCTTGAGGGCTTTATGGTGAAAAATGTGCAACAAGTAAGTTAAATCACTATAATTCACTGATACAAAGACTAAAATTAAAAGAAATAAAATCATATAGAGAGGAGAAAATATATTTAATTCCATACAAATACAATCAAGTAATCATTATATTTAATGTAAAAGAGATAAAAATAAACTTACACTTAACATGTGATTTTTTTAATCTTCTGTATTCAATTTCTATAACCTGACAATAGGGAGCAGCAACAACATGTTATGTAGCACTACACCCACAAGTGAGTGAAATCAGCGGCAAGTATTTTGAAGATAACAATTTCGCAGAAGCACACTCACGTGGAAAGGACATGGATTTGGCCAAGAAATTATGGGATTTTAGCACAAATTTGATTAAGTAAAATACAAAGTGTTAATTATCATGAATATGAAATGACTTTTTAATAATAAAAATGTCAAATTTATGATAATTGATTAAAAAAATGTTATTATTTTTAAGATGCGAATTGTTTAAGGTTACAATTTAGTGCCTCTAATATTGAGGTGCAATCTATATTATATTGAACAATTGTACTTAAATATTATTGTAAAGTCGTTGTTGATGTTGAAAATATTGTTGGATATTTATATAATTAAAACAATTAGGGAAAAAAGTTGTGATGAATCATGCTAGTTGTATGTTTTATGTTAGATAAACAAATGTAATGAATCATTTTGTGTAGTATGATCATTAAAACATGATGAGCCATACCTATGTGATGAAGATGAAACTATAGGAACTTTTAGAATCAATTTCCCACCAAAAGATGAACAAAATTAGGGAAAACTAAAGAAACTAATTGAATATGTGAGGAAGTGGAAAATAATGCCACATTCCTTGAAGGAATGAGTTGAGGATCCATCGCAAAGAAGAGAATTTTTTTATGAGAATTTTAGGTTATGTATCAAGAGAAGAAGAAAAAGAGAGAGAGAGAGAGAGTATTATCTTGTAATTCAATAGCTCTTTGATTGAGAATTTTTTTTATGAGAATTTTAGGTTATGTATACAAGAGAAGAAGAAAGAGAGAGAGAGTACTATCTTGTAATTCAATAGCTCTTTGATTACTAAAATGAATCTTGTTTTTAACAAAGTCAACATTTACTTATTTTTATGCTAAACCTTTATCCAATAAAATTTTATCTCAAACTAAGGTCTAATGTTGACTTGATAGTCAATATTTTAAAATTCAAGTAGTGTCTCTTTCGTGATACGTCCTTGGAATGAACAATTGGACCAATGTGAGTTCAACAAATACAAAATACAAATTACAAAAAAGATAAATAAAGAATTTTTGTATATTATTTTACCGATAAATTATTTGTTAAACTTGTCCATTATAGGGAGTGCCTAAAAAGTATGTCATATTATGTAAAAACTATTTATTTCTATAAGGTTATGTTATATTTTTTTTGTCTTTTATTTATCAAAATATTTATTTTAACTTTTTATCTTTTTATATTTTGATCAATTTAATTCTTTTAAATAAAAGATTATTTTTAATTTTGTGACATGACTTTAAATTAAATTTTGACTCATTCAAGACATGAAACTAATAATATTATATTCTCCTATATGAAAATTATGAAATTTAATTGGTTTTTCAAATCAAAAAGAATTATAATCATAGTAAAAATAATGTCAAAAATATATCTCACAAACAATTAGAAAATAATATGAAATTATATTTTAAATTCTTTAATTATTTTTTAATTTATATTTATGTGATTTTCACCATGTTTATAAAAAAATTGTTTGAATTTTAGTTATGTCTAATTTTTTTCATATAAATAAATTTAATGAGACAAGCTTAAAGTGTTGAATTAGTGAAAAATAACTAAAACTGTATCATGAAACATAATCATTATTTTTAAATAATCAAATTGATTCGCATTTAGGAGATAAGAGACTTAAATAAATATTTTAAAAGATAAATGACTAAAATAAATATTAATAATAAATAAAAGATTAAAAATATAATTTAACTATTTATATAATTATATAAATGAAATTATAAAAAAAATACAGAACTTAATTAAAAATTAGTACATATTTATAATAAATTAAAATGAACGCCAATGTATTTTTTTCTTCTTTCTCACTAGTGATTACAGATAAATAAAATTTCATCAAAAATTATCTACTGTCAAAGATGGACACCGTCTAAATCATTCAACCTTAAATTCATTATACTAACTCCTTAATTCAACAATGAATTATTATTTTTAGTTATTTAGTCTTTAATTTTATAAAACTTTGTTTATATTGTTCCTTAAATAACATCAGATTAAAATGAACAACCATTTGACAAATTAGGATTTTAAAGTGAGAAATTAAAGTTCGTCAGTTTCACTTTGGACAAAGTAAAGAGAAAAAATGTGGTGGTTGGCCAGAAAAGGAGCTTCTGGGTTCTCAGGTTCTTCTACTGCTGAGGAGGTTACCCAGGGAATTGATGGCTCTCGCCTCACTGCCATTGTTACAGGTTAACTATAGCTGGATTGCAATGGGTTTCCTTTATTTGTTCTGTTATTCTTTAATTTACTCATGATTGATATGTTGTCCTTAGGAGATGGGATATTGCTCTACATGTTAAAAATGTAATATTTATTTGAATGGGTATGTAAAAATTGTTTTCAACCCCTCCCCCCAAGATGTTCCCATATTTCAATTTTTTTGAGATTTTTGTTATGTGGGAATGAAAACATAGAGGAGGAAGATGAAAAGCTATTGTTTGTTTTTTTTTTTTTTTCAATTTTTCATTCTTGATGATTACTGTACAAGAATTCATACCTTTTGGTCTTTTCTACATTCCTAATGAATTTTTAACCCGTGTCTTATATTGTTTTGCTTTATTTAATGAGTGTTGGTGCTTTGTGCTATTGTGTGCTTATTCCAACCTTTAGTTTGAGATTTTTGTTATGTGGGAATGAGAACATAGAGGAGGAAGATGAAATGCTGGAGTTTTTTTTTTTTTTTCATTGTTGATGATTGTTGTGCAAGACTTCACACATTTTGACCTTTTCTACATTCCAAATGAATTTCTAATCCGTATCTTATTGTTTTTCTTTATTTAATGCGTGTTGGTGCTTTGTGCTATTATGTCTTGTAAACAAGGTTTTAAATTGTGGACATGGTAGTCGCAATTCTTGATATTATGAAAAATTATGGATAAATGTGGCTGACAACAATTGTAGATGTGACCAAACTACAAGACTCCAGAAACCTTGACATTGCGGCTGCAATTGTGGTTGTGGATAAGCAGGAAAAAGCTAATTATTTCTATCAATTTCTAGTTATGGTTGCTGTTGGCTAGAATAATATATTTAGGTATGAATGGTTATGTGTCTGTTTGGTTAAATTTCTTCTAAAACACTTCTAGAAAAGAAAAATAAGAATAAAAAGTGAAATAAGCCTTTCCATAAGCTAAAATAGGCTTATGTATAAATTAATTTGTGGAAATTTTCTCCAAGTAGTTTCTCCAAAATCTTATTTTTAACTCATGTATAAACTAGTTTTAGCTGGTTGTAAGGCCTATTCTGGAACATTAGTGGTTGACTTAGTGGTCCGAGGTTTAATTCCCGTTTGTGTTAAAATAATGTTTGACCAGCAGAAGTCACATCCCATCGGTGCAAATTAGTCATTAGTTGTCAGTTTTGAAATATTGTGTGAATTATATCCATGGACCAAACTAAAAACTAGTTTTAGCTTATAGAGAAGGTTATTTCAATTTTCCTTCCTATTTTTCTCTCCTAAAATACTTCCGGAAAAGTTTGTTCAAACATGTCCTATGTCGAGTATGTGGTTGTTGTAGATTTGGGAGAAACATGTTGGTAGAATTAGTTCATCACCATGGTGCTCAATTTGTTTCTGGTAATGTTTGTCTTGCTTTCTTTGCATGATTTTGGTGCAAACGACTTCTCTTCATTGTATAATCCATGTTGCTGCAGGGGCAACTAGTGGTATTGGTGTTGAAACTGCACGTGTAATTGCATTACGCGGTGTCCATGTAGTCATGGGGATCAGAAATATGGCAGCTGGTGGGGAGATCAAGGACACAATATTAAGAGATAACCCAACTGCAAAAATTGACATGATGGAGCTGGACCTAAGCTCAATGGAATCAGTGAGGAAATTTGCATCACAATTCAATTCTCGTGGTCTTCCACTGAATATACTTGTGTATGTTAGATACTTTTCTTCTTGCTCGTGTAATATGTATTCTGTGAATGGAAGTTTTGGTGTTCTGTATGACTTTGGCCATTCACCAAATGCTGTTTCACTTGAATGCTAGATGGTAAATTTCAACATATGCTGTTGTATACACCAAAGTTATCTGTTTCTTTTGTTGTTCTAAGTAATAATGCAGGAATCATGGCAACACCGTTCAAGCTTTCCAAAGATAATATAGAATTACAATTTGCAACAAATCACATTGGTGAGATTTGTAACTTAAACTGTCCAAAGACAATACACACTCATGCACAAACATTGAATTTGGTAGATCATCTATACTCAGTAGGCTTAAAACAATAATTCTTTCAAATTCTGTTATAAAAAGATACTGACGAAACTTCCATATCTCGATTTGATACTTAGAAATCTATGAATTTGTAAATTCTATCAGTTTTCAGTTATTGTGTTGTTTTTTGGTAAATCATATTTGGAATTGTTTATTTATATTCATAGAGTTGTATACAGAAACATTTTACCTTATTGCTTTTATAAAGGAATTTGATATATAAGGGTCTCTCTTTGCAGGCCATTTCCTTTTGACAAACTTATTGGTGGAAACAATGAAGAGGACTGCTATTGAACAGAAGAAGGAGGGAAGGGTCGTAAATGTCTCATCAAGACGTCATAAATTATCATATCCTGAAGGGATAAGATTTGATAAAATCAATGATAAATCAGGGTAACATTATGTTTATTTAATGGCCTAAAATTTTGTACACTCAACTATATTTATATTTAGTCAACAGTTTCTAGCTTTATGAGTTCCCTTCAACTCACCCCTTTTTCATTGGTAATTACTAATTGTTTCTGAAACTAATAATATGTTGGGATGGAGAGGAAAAGGGAAGGAAGAGTTAATTTTCAGTTTTAAATTTGAGAGAATTAATTAAAAAAGTTTATGAAAATGAATAAAGGATGATTGGAAGGTTACATAGTAATATCTCATTTTATTCGTTCTATTTTAGAAATGTTCAAATAATAAAATATTAAGTTATATTAAATTGAAAAACTAGCCATTCATTTGCCTTATGCCCAAACCCCTCCATCCAAGTATATATTAAGCGATTAATATTTTCAATTCTCTTGCAATGTACAGGTATAACAGTTTGTCTGCTTATGGGCAGTCAAAGCTTGCTAATGTTTTGCATGCCAATGAGCTTGCAAGACGGCTAAAGGTGACTGACTTATTTGAGGTTATTGATTATATGTTATATCTGATGGTAGTTTGTTTCTGTTTGTGTTCTGTTTTATTTACCCCATAAAAATAAAGGAAATGCAGAGGAAGGAAGCAGGGGAATAATCCAGCTTATCAAGAAATGGTTGTGGAGGTGGATTACTGAATCCAACAGTTTGTGACATGCAATTTCTTTATGAGAAAATAGGATATGCACCAATAGTGTAAAGTATTTATACATTGTCTTTCAATCACAAACTATCATGTATGGTAAATTTGTTGACTTTGATAATAAATACTTTACAAGTTATATCAAATATGATTTCTAATTAGTTGACAGAGTAAAAACTTTTACACCCACAATACATATTAAACTCTTTATGTTAAAAAGAGGGAGTGAAACTTAATTGTCTTATTTAATTGTCTTATCTCTAGTCAATGTAAAACTTAAATTTTTTCCAATACATATTCTATGCACGATCTAACTGTCGGTATGCCCCATGAATTGTTTGTTCCATGTAATAAATGACCTAACGTCAGAAGAGTTTATGAATGCACCTTTATAAAAAACCAAACTCTGTTACAGATGGATCGTTTTTGGGGGAGTCTAATATGATGTGCATAATAAATCAGAAGTTTGGTGCCTTATGTCAAATCCCTGGAAGAAATAGTTATATAAATAGGTCAAGTTGTCAGAGACTAAATAAGATGTGACACGATAGTTTACACAGATATGAAACAATTCATGTAAATCCTTGAGCTTGTCATTGGTAAGCCTTGAATTTTATTCTTCTATTGCTAGCATTTAGCACATCTATGAGGTTTCTACAAGTCACAAGTTGCAGCTGTTTCTGTTATTTTGAAATAATTGTTCCTATTTCGGAAAATATTACCGTTGTCAAAAAGTTACAGCAACATAGAACAGAATAGTCATCTTGCTACTGGATGTTTGTAGCAGGAAGAGGGCACAAAGATAACTGCAAACTCAGTTAGCCCAGGACCAATTGCCACCAATCTATTTCGTTATCACAGTTTAATGGATGGTAATTCCGTTCTTCTGTTGTGTTTTATAAATTTTAAAATTATATTTGTACGTGAAAAACTACATACGACATTATACATTGTTATATGACATTCATGGTCCCTATAGTTTTACTTGGATTTATAGTTTGTCAACGTAGGTTAAAATCTTTCTAATTAGGTATCCATCATTACCCTGTGCTTGGCATCCATTAATTTAGTTCTTAGTTGACAAACTGTGTGCTGATGTGACAGCTGTTAGGAACCTAGCATGACAGTTTGCTTTTTATGTTGACAGTTTGCATCTATTTTTATGCAGGGTTTGTTGGTCTACTTGGTAAATATGTGATGAAAAATATACAGCAGGTAACTGATACCTATTTGAAATAATAAAGAAAAAAGGGTGGGGGAAAAATACTGTATGTAATATGTTATTTTCAAAGAAAAAGAGCAACAAGCTGTATTTCTTTATCACAAAGCTCTCCATGTTATAGATTTAACACATGAAAAACCTTTCTGGAAGGTTTGTCTGGTTCTCCCTTGTTAGATTACAATTTCATCCAGGATAATTTACTGGTAAAAGAAATTTCAGAAGAGCTATTAAGCTACTTAAGAACATTGCTTACAACTCCTATAAGCTTTTTTAAATTATTGTAGTAGGATTATTAGTATAGCTTATTAAAATTAGTTCTATTTAATTATTCACTGAGTTTTATGATCAAATTTTTAACAAAAGCTCTCATGCGATAAGAATTTATTGAATAAACACTTAACTAAGTTATCTATTCTTGTGCACCTTATATAGTTTTGCTTTGTCTTCCTTTCAACATAGGGAGCAGCAACCACATGTTATGTTGCATTGCATCCACAAGTTGAAGGGTTGACTGGCTGCTACTTTGCGGACAGCAACTTGGCTGAAGCAAGTTCACAAGCAGCTGATCCAGAGCTGGCTAGGAAACTGTGGGAGTATAGCTCAAATTTGGTCTCAAATCATAGGGACTAATATCTAGTCATAGTTTTCAGACATGAATGATCTATTAAACATTCACTAGACTTCTTGTACAGTTCCTCATTCCAGACGAATACATGATTAGTTAACTCCATGTAACAATCACAATGTTTGTGATACTTGTAATCTCATTTTCTGTCTCTAAATAAACTGCACTTCTTGTAGATGACCCTTTATTTATTTGATTGTGAATTTTGTAAGTTATTTACTGTTATCTATTTTGTCATATTTCTGTAATTCAGACAAAAATATCTTCCAACTAGGATTTGAAAAATCTCACGACATGACAGTCAAGAGAGAGAAAGAAGCGCCAGACTATAATTAATTAAATAAGGCAATTAATTAACTTCCGACTAATTTGACTTACAGGTATCTGACAATGCTCCAATTTCAATTAACTAATGATTTGTGTCACGCTCAAGATCAATTGGCACAAGATAAATTACCCAGTGGAGTCACGTGGCCGAAGAGTAACGCAACTTTATAATGTATCTATTTGGTGATTAAATAAATAATGCAATATGTTGCATGTCCTATGTGGGATCTGACTGTTCAGGTTATTCTTCAACAGTAACAAGGTTGTTCACTTCATCTTTTTTTGGAAAGTCATAAACTCCATTCCTAATCTTTGGAATTTTATGATTTTTGTACACATTAAAAAACATTTGATTTGTATAAACTTAGACTAAAATTCCATATTTATTGTTTTGCAAATTTTCATACTTTTTGATCTACCTAATTTGTAACTTACTCCAATTCACCATAATTACTGAGAATTCACTTTGAATGATCCTTTTATGCAGTGACTTAATATAGTGGCTTAACTATCTCAAGTCCCAACTACCTACGTTGGATGTTACCAACAGTCTTAAAATTGTTTAATAGTAACAATTCTCGCATGGGTACAATACTATATAACCATCAAGAGTCGTAGATAATATTAAAGTAATTTCAACATAAATCTCAACAGACTTTATGATCATTTTAATACATTTGGTGATTTTGATTAGTTGTAGCTAACAGCATTATGCTCACGCATGAATTACTCTACAGGAAAAATAATAATAATAAAGTTGATCCCATCAGATAAGCGTTGTATAAACCAGTTGAAGGCATTGCAAATCATATATCTTCAATTTTTCTTCAAATAATAATGTACAAGACAAATCCAGCATAAGAGTATATAATGAAAGTAATACATCTGAGCATATGCAATCAAGAGATCCACAAATCCTTGGCTTCCCATCAATAAATGCAGAATCACAATACAGTCTCCCATATTCTGTACAGCAATATCACCTCCCAAAAAATAGTCTAGAAGCTAAATTTTGTACTAATTTCACTTTTTTTGGCATCTATAAGATGTTCTAATACAGTTGTCATTGCATGAATACTTTTAACTGAAGGAACAGCATACATATTAGCAAAACTCATTCCTTGAGCTAATATTAACATTAAACCTATCATTTCTCATATATTAGGCAACAGAGAGAAATCCAAGCTCCCTACTTATCATGCACTGATGCTGCTGCATCTTGAAAATTCTACATACAAAACATAAGCTCCTCTTTAGCAACAAGTGAGCATTTGCTTCAGTTGATATAGACAAATCAAAAGTCAGGAAGTTTCATCCTATGGCTTAGTTTGGCACTTCTCCTGAAAGGTTCTGAGCTCCACAAGCCTGAGCCTGAAGCCATGCAAAATGGATTTATGTGCCCCAGCTCCCCCTATTCTCAGATCAAAATTTATTACATTGATTCTCCTATGCTTTGGCTCCTTATTTTACAATTACTTCCTCAGCAAATAGAACAATGAATAGATCATTTTGACAAACTTCAAAGACTAACTCACATAAGTGGGCCAAAGAAAATGCTGTGTCATAAACCATTAGCCCGGCTGAGCAAAGAGGAGTTGGGGCTTAGATCAAGAGATGGGTTAATTTTCACATTATCCCCCAGCAGCTGCCGGCAAACACGATCAGCCAAGACCGACTGGACATCATATGGCTCGTTATGAGGAGACCTTGCAAACTGCTTCCCCAGAACGTCACTTTCACTCGGAACCAGTTCGGATGTAATGTGAGACGTCTGTTGCATTCCTCGAAAAATGTCTACATTCAAGTCATGATGAGCAGGACCACTAACATAGACACCATTTGGGGACTTTGGCAAGCTTCCAAGACCCTCTTGAATGTAAACTAAGTGACTGCTAAATGGAATGGAACCAGGACCACCATTGAGAGGTGTGGATGCACCAGAAGCAGTCCGAGGGCTAGATATAGGAGAGGGAGACATCCTCCCATTCATATGTTGTGGCGATCTTGGCCTCAAAAGTGGGCTTCCAATGGGTGAAACAGGGCAAGATATGTTCCTTGGAATATGGATTTCACTGCAGATTAATGAAATAATTTTAGACAACCATTGGCAGTGTCAGCAACCTGTGCATGGTGTGTGTGTGTGAGAGAGAGAGAGAGAGAGACCTGGCATGAGGATTAGTTTTCAAAAACCTAGAAGAATGACGAGAAAGTCTATCTGAATCCAGCGAAGGATTCCTTCCTTGTCCAATGCCCTGAAAATGAATCACAGATGAACGAAATTACCCCAATAATTACAAGAGGAATAGAGATGAAACCACAACGAAAATACAATTTCAAAGATCATACCATTATGCAGGCAAAATTTTCCAGTATCTTATGATTGGAAGTTAAACTGAACACCCAGATAAGTTACTTTCCTGATAAAATAATCACCACCACAATTCCTATGAGGACAACACAACAATCCCTTATTTTTAGTTTGTTTTTCCCCTCCCACCTCCATGGGTGTACTTTACTCCAGGGTAATGGAAAAATTCTATCTTACAGTTTGTAGTATGTAATTGCTTCCATACAGTTTCTCTAGCTGTCTGTCACTCTTTATTCTCTACTTTCATGGGAATCAATAACAGGATAAACCATTAATGAAAATCTTGCACGTTTCAACACGAATATGAATCCTTTTCTCCAAACGACACAAAAAGCCTTAGTTATAAGTAAATCCTATGTCAGAAATACAAATTCATCAGATGAAAAAAAGTCCTTCATGAGGCAAATGCTATTACAGTTGATAGGATATTGAAAAGTTCAGCTTTATACAGCTGTGTTATCAAAATAATGAAAATTTGTTGATGCATAACAAAGAGAGGTCAACTATAGTGATGTTTGATTTTGAATATTTCAAAAACTTTTAAAGGAACTTGTTTTTTTTATTTTTATGACAACTGATATTTTAAAGGTAATAATATGGATCAGGAAGTCCTGGAAGAGCCAATCAAGTTGTTTCATGTCTAACTAAAGGCCACAATTTGTAAAATGCTTTGGAAATTATATTTTTCATTCATAAATAATTAGGATTTTCCACGTAATCCAGTGAATTCCAGAGCTGAGGGGGGTTCTAAACCTAGAGCCTTTTAATCTGTTCTAAACCCCTCAACATTAAATCTGGCTCAAGCTACCTTCCTTCCCACTATGGCAACATATATGGACAACAAATGAGAATGCCTCCTCTATATATTATGGTGTATGGTATACTTCCAAGAGAATGAACTGTCTATACAATATACATACCCAGAAAATGATTTATCAATTACGAAATTTGAATGCATGAAGTGCAGAAAATTCTCGTAACATTTTAATGTAGCAGAGCAGATGGCTTCCGAATTTTATTCCTATCATGTGCAGGAGGGAACACGGAGATGCAAATATTGGACACAAAAGAATATGCAATGCCAGACAAACAGGCTACCCCCCACTTCACACTAAGAATATGGAAATAGACACAAATAAACCTTTTATACAATTTGTGTTGGAAAAAGCTTCTTTACCAGAGCTGTAACTCCTTGTGTGATCCCAGATACTGCTGGGTCTGAAGAAGCATCAGGACCCAGAATAGGTCTTTCTAAAGGTGCAGCACATTTTACAAAAGGATGGTCCAATAGTTCACTGGCTGAAGGGCGATTGTGCGGATTACGTTGTAGGCATTTCCTAACAAAATCCTTTCCTTCACTAGAGAGGTCTTCCGGGATTGTTGGGAGTTCCTTGCTATTACCAATCTTGAACATGGCAGCAACCTGTTATGTTACATGCAAAGACAATAATACATCAAGTCAAGGCATAAATTAATGCAAGAAATATCATCAGTGTGCTTTATACATGAATAGAGTAAACTAGATAAAATAGTAGGAAAAAAGAAAAAACTAACTAAAAGTTCCAATATATTGACATAAATCACATACCCCTTCATACTGACTCCAAGGAGGTTTAGTTGTAGCCATTTCTAAAACCGTGCATCCAAGGCTCCATATATCAACAGCAAGGTTGCAACCATTGGAGTTTTTTATAACCTGGAAAATCAGAATGAAAAGCTATCAAGTCACAAAGCCAAGATGTAGTTGAACCTATAAAGAGCTGAAACTAACAGAAAATATTACAACCTCAGGAGCCATCCAATAGGGGCTTCCCTTGAATGATAATGGACATGATTGCCCTGTTATCTGCAAAATATACAAATCAATAATCGGGGAAACAGGATAGATCATGCAACTTAGTGATTAGTTATACCAGATGCAATATCAAATGGAAATTGTGCAGGAAAACAATATATTATGAACTCAAAAAAGCCAAAAGAACCTAATGTCTTCTTTTATGTCTAGGATTCACAGTGATATTTTTTCAAGTTGAAGTCATACATGATAAACTGATAGGAGTTGGGGGCTTGGGGCAGGAAAAATATTCTCCAAAAAAGGAATAAAAAGTAACAATAAAGGAATGTCACAAACTCCACTGAATTGGAAATAGCAACTTGAGTTGCTGAATTAGTGGTTTTTTAAACCTTTATTCATAATTTCACTAAGCATCAGAAACCAATTTCCATATCCTACAATTAGCTTAAATACAAATACAGGAAAACTTTTATCTCCAAGCTTACATGCTTTGCCATGCCAAAGTCTGCCACCTTAACCCGGCCATTGGGATCAACCAGTATATTGGCTCCTTTGATGTCCCTTTACAAGAAATGCAATATAAGTAATAGATACATCAGAACTCATAAGTGTAGAAAATTAATCATTATGTGGCAGCAAAAAAAATTGAAGATATAAAAAGAAAAAGTGACTTAGTTCACCTGTGGACAGTATTTTTCGCATGTAAATAAGCAAGTCCTGATAAAATTTGTTGAG